TCAACTGGCCACCCGTAGTACCAGATGGTACTCTAGTTCGACCCCATTTCAAATCATTCCAAGGAATAGCAGTGGATACATTTGGTCATCAACAAGAACCACGGGATTGCAATACACCAAGATGGGAACTGCAATCAAGGAAACATGCCCGGGGGAGCTGAATCATTCCCAGGAAGGGCTGTGGATACATTTGATGATGAACAAAAACTCCGGGATTGCAATACACCAAGATGGGAACTGCAATCAAGGAAACATGCCCCGGGGTGCTAAAAGGTCCAGATGGTACGTACTCTGAGTCGCTGAAGGAGAATTGTAAGTCTACTCATAGATACCAGTTACCCCGGATAGCGGTCGAAGGACACAGCTGATGATCGATAAGAACAGAAGATTGTCAGAAAGAACGTGGAATGGCTGTGTTCAAAGTGGTAATTATACCAAACGCACAAATATAAACAATTGCTAAAATTCCAATTGACCTGGACCAGACGACATCTTTCAGGGGATTTATATCGGCCTTCCTGCCAGGTTACGTGCTTTAAACATGGCTTAAGTTCAAAGTGGTTATTATAACAAAGACCGATGGCAAATCTTAACATTGCTAAATTTCCAATAGACCAAACTAGCCTAAGTTCTCCCGGACCATACGACATCATTCAGGGTATTTGAGTTTTCCTGAAAATGGTGGAAATACTGCCTGACAGTTACAACTTTCAATACATTAACTTACAACACATATCGGCTCTAAACATATAGCTCCTCGTGCCTTCAAAAACATGCAAGAAGTTCATAGACATACAAGTAGTCTTCGATGAAACATCATTCGCTACTATAGAGCAGTTGTTGTAAGAACTAGACCCTGGAAAGGCTGACATGCAGTTGCATTATGTTTGATCTAATGAGAAACTTTTTTGCTAGAATTCTCTCAAATAAATAACTTTTTATTACTTATGGCCCTCTACATGTAGATATGTGTTTCCTTTATTACTGCTCTCTTAAGCTTCTTAATTTTTATACTGTTTTATTTAATGGTTTTATTCGAGTAGGAAGATTGCATTAACTTTTATGTTACTTAGTTACACTTTAAAATACCACGTTATATTCACTATTTTCAATTATTTATTAACAGTGTATCCGATTTAAACTTATACATCCTAAAAACCCACTTTAGTTTTTTTGTTAATTTAATTAATTGTTTATTTTTTCATAAACTGAAACTTTTTTTGTGTAGACTTTTATAAACATTATCTTTAATAGCCAGCAGCCAAAAGGTATGCTAAACTTATTTGAAATAGCAGATACAGTGGGATTAAATAAGTAAAAATTTAAACGCTAGAAATTAAAAAATTAATGGAAGCAGATTACGACGATATTGGTACATTTGAAAAATATAATTTATCGACTATAGACTACAATATAGACAATAACTAGAATAGCATGAGACTATAGATTTAAACTATGGGGTGGACTACAGACTAGAACAGACTATACTCTAAGACTATAGTACACACTAGACTATAGGCTAGTCAATGGAGTATAGTATAGACTAGACTATAGATCATACTAGACAATAGATTAGACAATAGATTGTAGAATAAACTATAGCAGACTAGACTATAGGCTAGTCTACGGAGTATAGGCTAGACTATAGATCATACTATAGTCTAGACTAGACTATAGATTGTAGAATAAACTATAGACTCGACTACAGACTAAACCACAGACTACACCACAGAATAAACTATAGACTAGACTATAGACTAGATTATGGACTTCATTATTGACTTGACTATAGAGTAGACTACAGATCGTAATTATAATAGAATTATACCATAGAATTAGACTAGACAATAAATAGAATATACCATAGATTAGGTTATAGACTATACTATACCCTACAGACTAGACTGGACTATAGACTAGACTACAGACTAGACTGTAGACTATAAACTAGATTATAGACTAGACTATATACTAGATAATATACTATAGATTAAACTATAGACTGGACTATAGACTAGAATATAGACTAGACTAGACTATAGATTAGACTATAGACAAGACTATAGACTAAACTATAGACTAGACTATACATTAGACTATAGAATAGACTATAGAGTAGACTATAGACTAGACTATAGACCAGACTATAGACCACACTATAGACTAGACAATAGTCTAGACTATAGACTAGACTATAGATTAGACTATAAATTAGACTATAGACTAGACTATAGAGTAGACTACAGACTAGACTATAGTCTAGACTGTAGACTAGACTATAGACTAGACCATAGAATAGACTATACTAGACTAGACTAGTAGACTAGACTATAGACTAGACTATAGACTAAGACTATAGACTAGACTATAGACTAGACTATAGACTAGACTATAGACTAGACTATAGACTAGACTATAGACTAGACTATAGACTAGACTATAGACTAGACTATAGACTAGACTATAGACTAGACTATAGACTAGACTATAGACTAGACTATAGACTAGACTAGACTAGACTATAGACTAGACTATAGACTAGACTAGACTATAGACTAGACTAGACTATAGACTAGACTAGACTAGACTATAGACTAGACTAGACTAGACTATACTAGACTATAGACTACTAGACTATAGACTAGACTAGACCTATAGACTAGACTATAGACTAGACTAGACTATAGACTAGACTATTGACTAGACTATGACTAGACTAGACTATAGACTAGACTATAGGACTAGACTGTAGACTAGACTATGACTAGACTATAGACTAGACTATAGACTAGACTATAGACTAGACTATAGACTAGACTATAGACTAGACTATAGACTAGACTATAGACTAGACTATAGACTAGACTATAGACTAGACTATAGACCTAGACTATAGACTAGACTATAGACTAGACTATAGACTAGACTATAGACTAGACTATAGACTAGACTATAGACTAGACTATAGACTAGACTATGACTAGACTATAGACTAGACTATAGACTAGACTATAGACTACGACTATAGACTAGACTATAGACGAGACTATAGACTAGACTATAGACTAGACATATATGACTAGACTATGACTGACTTAGACTAACTAAGACTAGACTGATAGACTAGACTATAGACTAGACTATAGACTAGACTATATAGACTAGACTATAGACTAGACTATAGACTAGACTATAGACTAGACTATAGACTAGACTATAGACTAGACTATAGACTAGACTATAGACTAGACTATAGACTAGACTATAGACTAGACTAGACTAGGCTATAGACTAGACTATAGAATAGACTATAGACTATACTATAGACGAGACTATAGACTAGACTATAGACTAGACCTAAGCTAGACTATAGACTAGACTATAGACTAGACTATAGACTAGACTATAGACTACACTATAGACTAGACTATAGACTAACTATAGAATAGACTATAGACTAGACTATAGACTAGACTATAGACTAACTATAGACTAGACTATAGACTAGAATATTGACTAGACTATAGACTAGACTATAGACTAACTATGACGAGCTATAGACTAGACTATAGACTAGACTATAGACTAGACTATAGACTAGACTATAGACTAGACTATAGACTAGACTATAGACTAGACTATAGACTAGACTATAGACTAGACTATAGACTAGACCACTGACTAGACTATAGACTAGACTATAGACTAGACTGTAGACTAGACTATAGACTAGACTATAAACTAGACTATAGAGTAGACTATAGACTAGACTAGACTATAGACTAGACTAGACTAGACTAGACTAGACTAGACTAGACTAGACTAGACCAGACTAGACTAGACTAGACTAGACTAGACTAGACTGGACTAGACTAGACTAACTAGACTAGACTAGACTAGACTAGACTAGACTAGACTAGACTAGACTAGACTAGACTAGACTAGACTAGACTAGACTAGACTAGACTAGACTAGACTAGACTAGACTAGACTAGACTAGACTAGACTAGACTAGATTAGACTAGACTTGACTATAGACTAGACTATAGACTAGACTATAGACTAGACTATAGACTAGACTATAGACTAGACTATAGACTAGACTGTAGACTAGATTATAGACTAGACTATAGACTAGACTATAGAATAGAATAGACTAGACTAGACTATAGACTATGCTAGACTATAGGCTAGACTATAGACTAGACTATAGACTAGACTATAGACTAGACTATAGACTAGACTATAGACTATAGACTAGACTATAGACTAGACTTGTAACTTTCACCTCAGCTAGCAGAAATTGGTCCTTCGCACCTATACATTTTCGTTGTAGAAAAATAAAAAGTCCACACATTTTTAGATTTTTTTTATATATTTTTTTAATATTAACTTTATTTTTTCATTAATTTTTGAAATTTTATTTATTTATTTGTTTGCGTATAATACAATTTATACGTTTTACACTATATTATAGATAATTAATTAATTAATTGTAATTGTATATGTATGTTTGTTTTTTGTTTGTTGGTTTGTATATATTATGTATATATAGAGAATAATAATATATGTAGGGTGTATATAAACTACTATTTACTATATATAATTTATAATAATAAAATGAAAAATAATAATTGTAATAGAGAGAAAAAAAATAATAATATTTTTAAATTAAATTATAAACGAACACACTTTTCATTACTTTTTTTTGTTGTTGTTATTGTATGATGGAAAATTGTTAATGATATTATTTTAGGTAAATGAATATATGTATTTATGTATAATTTTTAAATTGATTTTATATAGTATTTAATTAAACTAAAAGAGTAATTTTTTTGATACTCCTGTTAATTGAATTTTGAATTGAAAAAATTAAATTAAAATAAAAAGAAACAAAATATTTTATAATAAAACAGTCCTTGTTGTTTTTTTTGTGGTTTAAATATGTATGTTGATGATTAAATATTTTTATATGTTAGATTTATAATTATTGTTATGATATTTTGTTTGTTTATTTAAATTTGTTTTTGTTTTTTTTTTTTAATTGTTTTAAAAAGTGGGGCAAAATAGGGGAAAAACTACACATTAAAAATTTGTTTAAATTTTTGTTTTACTTAATTTTTAAATATACAATATAGAAAATATTGTATATTATTTTGTGTTTTTTGTTGTTGTTGTTTTAATTAATTATTAAATAGTTAATTATTGGCAATGAAAATTATATAATTTTTAATTGTTTTAAAACATTTACTTTTCTAGTAGTTTTTTTTTTAATTTATAAACATTATATAGACATTTATACTACAGTTTCTTATTGTTTTTATAATATTTGTTTATTTTAAGTTTAAAGAAAATTAAGATTTTTAAATAAGAAATTTTAAATTCACCACAGTTTTTTTATTTTAAAAAGTTTTATTAAGATTTTTGTTTTACTATAGGGTGGGGAATTAGTTACGATTATGTTATTCGTTTTATTTTATTAACAACTTTAGCTGAGTGGTGAGTTTTATGGTGAATTTGAAAAAAACTGAAACTCACCTCGTTTCAAAAATTTGTAAAGAGTTAATTTTTTAGAAAAATATAGAAAAAAACAACTAATGCTGCTTTATTTGGGTTATTTAAAGCTAAATTTCTTTAAATCTCTCAATTTTTCTTAGTGGTGAATTTTTACTAGAAACTCACCACGAGGTAAATTTCATAAAAATCGCTTTCTGCTTTAAAATTCTACTAAAAGTATTATATATTTTGTTAAAAAATCAATTGTAAGTGAAAAAATTTACATTATAGAAACTCACCACTCGAAAAAATTTAAGAATTAAACTCACCACGATGTACATATATGGGTAATTACAAAATTTAATTAAATTGTTACAAAAAAATTTACTATGTAAAGTGAAAAAATATTTTTAGTAAGAAAAGTGGCATTTTACTAAACTCACCACTTTAAGAAATTCTGGAAAATTTCAAAATGTTCACTAAATTAAACCAAAAAACTTAAAATTTACTTAATGGGAGTTTTTTTACAAGAAAATTTCAGTAATTATAATAATTTTTCTTAGTGGTGAGTTTCTAATCACAACTCACCACAAGGTGAATAATCGGGAAAACACAAAATTTTACAATTTCTTCCAGTTTTTAGCAAATTTAAAACAAAAAAATTAAATTTAGTTTATTTCTGATACTTAAAGAAACATTTGAGTAAATCCTTCAATTTTTACTTAGTGGTGAGTTTTCAGTCACAACTCACCACAAGGTGAATATTCTAGAAATCAACAAATTTAATTTAATACTCATAAAAAGGTTAAAAAATTAAACAAAACTTATATTTTTAGCGCAAAAATGCTATTTTATTAAACTCACCACTTTCAAAATTTAAGAAAATTTCGAATTTTTAACAAAATTTCAACAAAGAAACTTCAAATGCTCTTTATTTGAGTTATTTAAAGCAATATTTCAATAAACCCCTCGATATTTCTAAAAGGTGAGTTTTCATTTTAAACTCACCACGGCGTAAATGTCATGCAAATCGTTTCATGACATTTCTTGAATTTTTGCTATTAGGAAATCTATTTGAAAACTCACCATTTTGAAAACTTAATGAGTTTTAACAATTATCCAAAACTCACCACTCTTAATGAGTTTTCAAAATTTTTTGCAAAAAATTAAGTTTTACTTACTATTTAAGGTTTATTAAAGTTTTTTAAAGCAAATCTTACTAAAATTCTTATTTTTTTTCGGAGTCGTGAATTTTGCTAAGAAACTCACCACATTTAAGAGAAAAAAAATTTTCAAAATTTCGCAAAAACTTAACTCTTTTTACATTTTGTGCTTCTTTTTATTAGTTAAAGAAATGTTTCTTTATTTTTATTGATTGTTTTCAAAAGGTAAGTTTTGAAAAAGAAATTCACCTTGTGGTGAGCTTATGCGATTTCTTTAATTAATATAAAATTCTACAATTTTCTAAAAATTCAATGCAAATGAATGACAATGTGAAAAAACTGGAACATTTGCTATAAATTGACTTTATTTCAAACTCAACACTTGTAAAAAGAAACTCACCATGGAATAAATTTGGACCAGAGAGGAAAACTAGTAATAATTGCCAGGAAAAAGTTTAAAAAAGTGGAAAATTTGCTATAAATTGACTTTATTTAAAACTCACCACTTGTAAAAAATAACTCACTACAAAATATATTTTGTAGCAGAAAACAAAATTAACATTGAAAACTAAGAAAATTTTAAAAAATACATTATTTTTCTTTTGCTTGAAACTCACCACTAGCAAAAGAAACTCACCACTAAAGAAATTTTACAACAGAAGGCAAAATTAACATTGATCACCATTTTTTTAGTACTTTACTTTAAAAAGTAACTCACCACTGAGTAAATTTTAACAAAAACTAAAAATTTCTGTTAAAATGCTTTAAATACTACGAAAATTTAACGAAAATTGTGTTATTTTAACAAAAGGTGAGTTTTTTCAAATTCACCACTTTAGGCACTTAACTCACCACAGGATAATTTGAAGAAAAATACTAAATTTCTTAGTAGTATATAGGAAAATTGTTAAAAAAGTGGATAATTTGGCAAATGGGGAGTTTAACGAAAACTCACCACTTTGGTTTTCTTTTAGTTTTTGGGTTTTTTAACACTTCTCATAACTCACCACAGGCTAAATTTAATATATATATTAAAAAATTATACAGAAACTTCTTTATTTGGAAAAAGGTGAGTTTTTGAAACTCACCACTATGTTTATCTTTAACTTTTTTTCACGTTTTCTTTAAGTTTCCTTGCAATTTTCAAAATTTCAAAATTTTTTAAACTTTTTTCTTAGTGGTGAGTTTTGTTAACTGAGTTTTCTTAAACAATACTCTCTTCCTTATAAGAAGTTATTTTTTAAGATTTTATTTTTAACTATTTGAACAAAAAAATCTTTATAATAAATTTTTTTAAAAATTTTCAAAATTCACCTAATGGTGAATTTCTATTTTATTTTATAACTTTGTTTATATATATATATTTTATTAATATAATGAATAATGTTTTGTTAATTAAAACCGTTTCGTTTCTTTATGTATTGAGCAATAACTATTACAAACTTATTAAACTATTTCTTTAAATATTTTATTTAAATGATTTTTTTTTCTTTCATTCTTGTAAATCTGTTTGTGTTTTTCTATTATCACTAAACTGTGGTGAATTTCTTATTTTAACATATTTTTATGTATAATTATTACACCAATTATTTTCAGTTAATTCTTTTCTATTGAAAATATTTATAAATATTTTTTTTTTACTTTAATTTATAAATTGTTCATAATGATCACTTCGCTTATTTACTAAAGGGGGAAGGGGGGCTTGTTAAAGGGTATAAGGGGGTATAGGGGATCTAGTTTGATAATAATTAAATCCTCTTATAACTAAAGTTAATATAATTTTAATTAAAAAAAAAAAGAAACACAGCTTTATTATTTTATTTTTTCTTTCCTTCTACAAACTTCAACTCTCTTTTTCTTTACCACAGTCCGAGAGTTTTCTTATACTTTTGCTCTCATTTTCCATCTCTATCTTTCTGGCTCTCTTACTTGATCATTATGTTTCATGTATTGTAGTTTCTTGCGAACCCAATTGCTTCCACTTCTAGCTCCAAAAATCCACCATATTGACTAGTTTGCATTTTTTGAGCTCTAGTTTTGTGGGACGGGCACGAAGTCAAGCACGCCCAAATATGGCCGACACGTCGCCCGTCGATTGAGAATGTGACATATTGATTTGATTGCTGGATGCAGTGCTATGATGTGATGTTTGCAATTGTGAGACATGATGATTATTGTTGTTGCCATTATTGTGATGTGTATGACCCAAGGTAGCAATGCCGCCATATTTGGACGAGGCCGTAGAACCTAGAGTGCCGGTAATGAGATGTTTACGCGAGGCCGATTGGGTCATTTGTGAGTTAGTGTGGCTGCCCACTAAAGTGCCATTTGAACCGCCAGCGGTACCATACATGCGATGTAAAGAATATTGTTGTACAGATTCGAGATCGGATACTGAGGAAGTAATTTTTGATCGTACAGCCATTTTTTGCATGCTATTGTATTTATCGCCAGCACTTAGCTTAATATCGGGCAAATGACCCGATGATTGAGCATGTGCAGTTTGATGTAGTGTACTAGCAGCATGATGATGACCATTGCCATTTAAACCTCCACCCACTCCAGCGCCAGTACTACCACCACCACCATTTGTTAGGGAGGAGGTTAAATGATTATGATTATTATTATTAGAGCGTGTGGTCTTATTGGTTGTGGTAGTTATGGCAGCATTGCTTACTGTCGTTGTGCTGGTTATAGAGGCCACTACTGGGCCGCCATTTGTGGCCGATGGCGAGATATCGGCAAAACTGTAACAAGACGACTTTTGCGAGGATGAATTATTGAGGCCACCCGTAGACGATGAAGTCGACATGCGGCATGATCTGTGTCTGGAGGAGGAAGACGGCTGTAGGAATTCATGATGGGCTGCCTCATCGGGTGTCATGCGTTCCGCAGGATCCCATTCGAGACAGCGCTGTAGGAAGTTAATGAAATAGCGATCATGACAGATGAGTACTTGTGAGAGTGTTTTAGTGCCGGGTGCACGTTTGCGTCCCTTTGAGTTGGTTATACAGCGGGGTGCTCCACGAGAATCGAAAAATAAACGACGTCTGGTTGCAGTGGCAATGAGATCTTTTGGTGGCAGTCCTAAAATTTCCATAATACAGGCTAACTGTTCGACTTCGTTTTCACCGGGGAAGAGAGGGAAGCCGGTATAGAGTTCGGCTAGAATACAACCTGGAAGGACAGGGGAAAGTAAAATTTTTCAGAAAATGTTTCTTAATTTTTGTAACTTATAGACTAAGCCATGGAATAGAATATAGAATAGAATAAAGAATAGAATAAAGAATAAACTATAGACTAAACTATATACTAGACAACAGACTAGACTATAGACTAGACTATAGACTAGACTATAGACTATACTATAGACTAGACTATAGACTAGAATATAGATTAGACTATAGACTAGACTATGGACTAGACTATATAGACTAGACTATAGTCTAGTCTATAGTCTAGTCTATATAGTCTAGTCTATATAGTCTAGTCTATATAGTCTAGTCTATAGTCTAGTCTATATAGTCTAGTCTATATAGACTAGACTATAGACTAGACTATAGACTAGACTATAGACTAGACTATAGACTAGACTATGGACTAGACTATAGAATAGACTATAGACTAGACTATAGACTAGACTATAGACTAGACTATAGACTAGACCATAGACTAGACTATAGACTAGACTATAGACTAGATTATAGACTAGACTATAGACAAGACTATAGACTAGACTATAGACTAGACTATAGACAAGACTATAGACTAGACTATAGACTAGACTATAGACTAGACTATAGACTAGACTATAGACTAGACTATAGACTAGACTATAGACTAGACTATAGACTAGACTATAGACTAGACTATAGACTAGACTAGACAGAGACTATAGACTAGACTATAGACTAGACTATAGACTAGACTATAGACTAGACTATAGACTAGACTATAGACTAGACTATAGACTAGACTATAGACTAGACTACAGACTAGACTATAGACTAGACTATAGACTAGACTATAGACTAGACTAGACTATAGACTAGACTATAGACTAGACTATAGACTAGACTAGACTATAGACTAGACTATAGACTAGACTAGACTATAGACTATAGACTAGACTATAGACTAGACTAGACTAGACTATAGACTAGACTAGACTAGACTAGACTAGACTAGACTAGACTAGACTAGACTAGACTAGACTAGACTAGACTAGACTAGACTAGACTAGACTAGACTAGACTAGACTAGACTAGACTAGACTAGACTAGACTAGACTATAGACTAGACTATAGACTAGACTATAGACTAGACTATAGAGTAGACTATAGACTAGACTATAGACTAGACTATAAACTAGACTATAGACTAGACTATAGACTAGACTATAAACTAGACTATAGACTAGACTATAGACTAGACTATAGACTAGGCTATAGAGTAGTCTATAGACTAGACTATAGACTAGACTATAGACTAGACTATAGACTAGACTATAGACTAGACTATAGACTAGACTATAGACTAGACTATAGACTAGACTATAGACTAGACTATAGACTAGACTATAGACTAGACTAAAGACTAGACTATAGACTAGACTATAGACTAGACTATAGACTAGACTATAGACTAGACTATAGACTAGACTATAGACTAGACTATAGACTAGACTATAGACTAGACTATAGACTAGACTATAGACTAGACTATAGACTCGGCTATAGACTAGACTATAGACTAGACTATAGACTAGACTATAGACTAGACTATAGGCTAGACTAAAGGCTAGACTATAGACTAGACTAAAGACTAGACTATAGACTAGACTATAGACTAGACTATAGACTAGACTATAGACTAGACAATAGACTAGACTATAGTCTAGACAATAGACTAGACAATAGACTAGACAATAGACTTGACTATAGACTAGAAAATAGACTAGACTATAGACTAGACTATAGACTAGACTATAGACTAGACTATAGACTAGACTATAGACTAGACTATAGACTAGACTATAGACTAGACTATAGACTAGACTATAGACTAGACTATAGACTAGACTATAGACTAGACTATAGACTACAATATAGACTACACTATGAACTAGACTATAGACTAGACTATAGATTAGACTATAGACTAGACTATAGACTAGACTATAGACTAGACTATAGACTAGACTATAGACTAGACTGGACTATAGACTAGACTAGACTATAGACTAGACTAGACTATAGACTAGACTATAGACTAGACTATAGACTAGACTATAGACTAGACTATAGACTAGACTATAGACTAGACTATAGACTAGACTATAGACTAGACTATAGACTAGACTATAGACTAGACTATAGACTAGACTATAGACTAGACTATAGACTAGACTATAGCTAGACTAAGACTAGACTATAGACTAGACTATAGACTAGACTATAGACTAGACTATAGACTAGACTATAGACTAGACTATAGACTAGACTATAGACTAGACTATAGACTAGACTATAGACTGGACTATAGACTAGACTATAGACTACACTATAGACTAGACTATAGACTAGACTATAGACTAGACTATAGACTAGACTATAGACTAGACTATAGACTAGACTATAGACTAGACTATAGACTAGACTATAGACTAGACTATAGACTAGACTAGACTAGACTAGACTATAGACTAGACTATAGACTAGACTATAGACTAGACTAGACTATAGACTAGACTATAGACTAGACTATAGACTAGACTAATAGACTAGACTATAGACTAGACTATAGACTAGACTATAGACTAGACTATAGACTAGACTATAGACTAGACTATAGACTAGACTATAGACTAGACTATAGACTAGACTATAGACTAGACTATAGACTAGACTAGACTACTAGACTAGACTATAGACTAGACTATAGACCAGACTATAGACTAGACTATAGACTCAACTATAGACTAGACTAGAGTCAAGACTATGTTCTAAACTTTAGAATATACTATGAAATAGAAAACAGTTGGGAAGATGATATCATATTGATGCTGTATACTTTTATCTTTTAGTATAAGAAGTAAAGATTATGCAAATTTAATAGCCGTGTTCATGACAATTTAATTTCTTCAACTATTTAACATTTTAATGGTTTCTACTTAAATGTAAGGCTTTTTGCTACAGCTTTTTGATATAAAATAGGAAATTTAATACGCAAACGAAGAACATTTAGTTGTGTTAAAAAAAAATTATGCAAAATTTTTTTTTGTAACATTTACTTTTTTACCAAAAATTTGCATAAAATTTCCATAATAATATACCGTTTACAAATGAGTTATAGAATTAAGTAAAAAAGGAAAAATTACAATAAAAATATATTTCTTTTCTTTTTCAGACAAAAAACAGAAAGCATCCATTACAAAGAACCATTTCTTAAAGGTGAGTTAGATGATAAATAAATTACTTTTTATTTTAATTTTGAAACAGGCACGCAATTTAACAATTAACAAAGGAATTTGTTAAAATATCCTTGTAAGAAAATTTATTAACAATTCCCAGTTTAATTACAAAAAAACATATGGTCACTTTCGTTAGATTAATACATTTTTATAAATCTTAAGTTAAGTTATTTAATATTTAAACAAACACAAAAGCTTTTTATTTTAACAAACCAAATAGACACTTACATCCTGTAAAAGGATACGGATAAAGTCATTAAAGTACATTTAACATATAAAGTTAATGATTGTTTAGCTAAAAGCCTCGAGCAAGCAAAAAAGGAAGAGTGTTAATAATTCTACAGACATATGTTTTTATTTTCCCAGTTCTTATCGAAATTATTAACCATATCAAAAGCTTTCATATACACACATATGCCATTCTTATAAAAGAGCTTTTACACTCCTGTTTTCTAAAGGAATTTGCCAATTAGATTTTGTGTCGGTTTTTAGCAAAAGAATGAAAAATTAACAAAAGGCTTAAGTAAACTTTTGTAGAGAGCGAGGGCGAGAGAGAGTGTGCGACAGCAGGAAGGACCATTAAATTATTGTATAGCATTACATTGTTTGTTGATTGTTTTTGTTAAAAGGAATTTTGTGGTAATTTAATACTCTTAAGAAAGTTAATTAACTGCCGATAGCTGGTATTTTGATAATTAAACTTAATATATTGTGGCTGGCAAACACATTATGAAGGGAAATACTTGAGTTTATGGTAAAATGTTAAAGGAAAATCTTTTCAATAGGCTGAAAAGGAGCTGAAGTGTAAATTAATTTAATTAATGTTAAAGTTAATTTTAAGTAGTTTTTGGTTTCCATTACTAGGTAATGTAAAGCGGAATAGAAAAAGGAATTGAAATACTTCAGGCTAGACTATAGGCAGTATATAAGGCTATGAATTAAGATATGGACGAAAATATGACTAGACTATATACTAAAATATAATAGATTATAGACTAGACTATAGACTAGACTATAAACTAGACCATAGATTAGACTATACACTTGACTATAGACTAGACTATATACTAGACTATAGACTAGACTATAGACCAGAATATATACCAGACTATAGACAAAACTTTAGACTTGTCCATAGACTGCATTACGGACTACATTATAGGCTACACCATAGACTAGACTATAGCCTAGACAATAGACTCGAGTACAGACTAGGATTATATTCTAGACTAGAAAATAGACTAGAATTGGTTATAACATATACTAGACAGACTATAGACTGGACTATAGCCTAGTGTGTAGTCTAACACTAGGCTATATCATAGACCAGACAATACACTACACTATGGACGGGACTATACAATAGACTATATAATAGGCTATAGATCAGACTATAGGGTAGACAAGACACTTGAATATAGGCTAAAATTTAGACTAGGCTACAGACTATACACTAAACTATAGACTAGACTAAATTATGGAATAGACTTTAGAATAGACTATAGCCCAAACTATAGACTAGACTATAAATTAATCTATTCACTAGACTATATAATAGGCTATAGACCAGACTATAGATTAGAGACTTGACTATAGCCTAACTTTAGACTATCCTGCAGACTAGACACTAAATTATAGACTAGACTATAGACTAAACTGTGGACTAGACTATAGACTTAACTTTGGATTAGAAAAGAACCATAGACCAAACTACAGACTAGATAGAATAGACTATAGACCAAACTATAGACTAAAGACTAAACTAGACAATACACTAGACAATAAACTAGACTATAGATTATAGACTTGACTATAGACTAGGCTATAGAACAGACTATATGTAAGACTACTAGAGTGTAGACTAGACTATAGAACAGAATATAGACAAGACTATAGATAATTTAGGCCAGACTACAGTCAAGACTATAGACTTGACAATGCACAATACTATAGACTAGATTATAGACTGGACTATAGACTAGACTGTATACAATACTATAGACTACACTATAGAATGTACTATAGACCAGACTTGTCTATAAACTATAGACTATTATATATGTATACTAGACTATAGACTAGACCATTGACTACACTATAGACTAGATTATAGACTACACTATAGACTAGACTATAGACTAGACAATAGAATAGACTATAGACTGGGTTATAGACTAGACTATAAACTAGGCAACACAGTAGGCTATATCATACACTAGACTGTAGACCAGCCTAGCCTATAGACTCAACTTTAGACTAGGCTACAGACTAGACTACGAACTAAACTTTAGACTAGACTAGACTATAGACTAAACTATAGACTTGATTATAGACTAGATTATAGGCTAGACCATAGACTAGACTATAGACTAGACTATAGTGTAGACTATAGACTAGATTATAGACTAGACTAGACTAGACAGACTATAGACTAGACTATAACTAGACTATAGATCTAGACTAATAGACTAGACAATAGACTAGACAATAGACTAGACTCTGACTAAACATATTAGACTATAGAGGTAGACTATATGACTGAGAATATAGACGAGACTATAGACGAGACTATAGACTAGAACTATAACTAGACTATAGACTAGCTATAGACTAGACTATAGGACGAGGACTTATAGACCAACTAGAGACTAGACTATAGACTAGACTATAGACTATAGCTATAGACTATTGACTACTATAGACTAGACTATAGACTAGACTATTGACTAGACTAGAGAACTATACTATAGACTAGGACTATAGACGAGACCTATAGAACTAGACTATAGACTGGACTATAGTACTAGACTATAGACTAGACTATAGACTAGACTATAGACTAGACTATAGACTAGACTATAGACTAGACGATAGACTAGACTATAGACTAGAACTATAGACTAGACTATAGACTAGACTATAGACTAGACTATAGACTACTAGACTATAGACTAGACTATAGACTAGACTATAGACTAGACTATAGACTAGACTATAGACTAGACTATAGACTAGACTATAGACTAGACCTAGACTAGACTAGACTATAGACTAGACTATAGACTAGACTATAGACTAGACTATAGACTAGACTATAGACTAGACTATAGACTAGACTATAGACTAGACTATAGACTAGACTATAGACTAGACTAGACTAGACTATAGACTAGACTAGACTAGACTATAGACTAGACTATAGACTAGACTATAGACTAGACTATAGACTAGACTATAGACTAGACTATAGACTAGACTATAGACTAGACTATAGACTAGACTATAGACTAGACTATAGACTAGACTATAGACTAGACTATAGACTAGACTATAGACTAGACTATAGACTAGACTATAGACTAGACTATAGACTAGACTATAGACTAGACTATAGACTAGACTATAGACTAGACTATAGACTAGACTATAGACTAGACTATAGACTAGACTATAGACTAGACTATAGACTAGACTATAGACTAGACTATAGACTAGACTATAGACTAGACTATAGACTAGACCATAGACTAGACTATAGACTAGACTATAGACTAGACTATAGATACTAGACTATAGACTAGACTTAGACTAGACTATAGACTAGACTATAGACTAGACTATAGACTAGACTATAGACTAGACTATAGACTAGACTATAGACTAGACTATAGACTAGACTATAGACTAGACTATAGACTAGACTATAGACTAGACTATAGACTAGACTATAGACTAGACTATAGACTAGACTATAGACTAGACTATAGACTAGACTAAGACTAGACTATAGACTAGACTATAGACTAGACTAGAGACAGACTATAGACTAGACTATAGACTGACTATAGACTAGACTATAGACTAGACTATAGACTAGACTATAACTAGACTATAGACTAGACCTATAGACTAGACTATAGACTAGACTATAGACTAGACTATAGACTAGACTATAGACTAGACTATAGACTAGACTATAGACTAGACTATAGACTAGACTATAGACTAGACTGTAGACTAGACTATAGACTAGACTATAGACTAGACTATAGACTAGACTATAGACTAGACGATAGACTAGACTAGAACATTAGACGTAGACTATAGACTGAGACTATAGACTAGACTATAGACTAGAACTATAGACTAGCTATAGACTAGACTATAAAGACTAGACTATAGACTAGACTATAGACTAGACTATAAGACTAGACTAGACTATAGACTAGACTGTAGACTAGACTATAGACTAGACTTAGACTAGACTATAGACGAGACTATAGACGAGACTATAGACTAGACTATAGACTAGACTATAGACTAGACTATAGACTAGACTATAGACTAGACTATAGACTAGACTATAGACTAGACTAGAGCTAGACTATAGACTAGACTATAGACTAGACTATAGACTAGACTATAGACTAGACTATAGACTATGACTATAGACTATGACTATAGACTATAGACTAACTAGACTAGACTATAGACTAGACTATAGACTAGACTATAGACTAGACTATAGACTAGACTATAGACTAGACTATAGACTAGACATAGACTAGACTATAGACTAGACTATAGACTAGACTATAGACTAGACTATAGACTATACTATAGACTAGACTATAGACTAGACTGTAGACTAGACTATAGACTAGACTATAGACTAGACTATAGACTAGACTATAGACTAGACTGTAGACTAGACTATAGACTAGACTATAGACTAGACTATAGACTAGACTATAGACTAGACTATAGACTAGACTATAGACTAGACTATAGACTAGACTATAGACTAGACTATAGACTAGACTATAGACTAGACTGTAGACTAGACTATAGACTAGACTATAGACTAGACTATAGACTAGACTATAGACTAGACTATAGACTAGACTGTAGACTACACTATAGACTAGACTATAGACTAGACTATAGACTAGACTATAGACTAGACTATAGACTACACTATAGACTAGACTATAGACTACACTATAGACTAGAACTATAGACTACACTATAGACTAGACTATAGACTACACTATAGACTAGACTATAGACTACACTATAGGCTAGACTATAGACTAGACTACAGACTAGACTATAGACTAGACTACAGACTAGACTATAGACTAGACTACAGACTAGACTATAGACTAGACTACAGACTAGACTATAGTCTACACTATAGGCTAGACTATAGTCTACACTATAGGCTAGACTAGACTCTAGACTAGACTCTAAACTAGACTATAGACTACTTTATAGACTATAGACTAGACGAGATAAAATTGTCTGAAAATTTTGTTTAAAACTAATTTCTGTTTAAACTATTAAAGAGTGAATGTTTTTATCAGTCTCCTTTTATTTCTTGATTAGCAATTAGTGTTTTTTTTTCTACTTCTTTATCACAATATATTTTTTTCCATATTTTTAATTAAAAATTATTTATGTCTCTGTGCATTTTGTTGCACTTTTACTCTTATTCCTAGCGCCTGAGTTAGATAACATGGTTAATAATTTATGTATTCATTTGTAGTTTCAATTTAGAAAAAGGCAGTGAAATTCTAATCGAAAGTTATATATTGTAATGTTTCCTTAGCCTGAAGGTTTAACTGTATTTTTTTATATTTTTTTTTTTTCTTATTTTTATGACACTTTTTATATATTTAGATAGAAGGGTTTTTTTTAATTTATTCATACATCAACACTTGGCAATTCATTATTATTTTTTTGCTTTTATTTAGATTAATTTTTGTTTGCTTTATTAAAAAAAAAATGTTTCCACTTAAAGATGATGACATGTTCACACCTTATAACTGACACAAATATCTTTCCATCATAACAAATTGTAACAATATGTCAAAGGATTTGTGTGGTAATATTAGATCCTTTTAAAATATAAATATTCTTAATTAAATTATACATTGCTCTACAAGTATTAATTTATATCTATTATTGTTCCTAACAAGTGTAATTTGTTTATCAAGTTACAATATTGTTGGTTTTTTACACCATCCATTTGCCACAAATTATGATGCCGATGTGTTAGTTGCCTGCAATCTATGTTAGTTTACGAGTATTTAGAGTGAAAAACAGAACATTGGATCTTTTGTTTCAAATAATTGGCTTTTTGTCAAGGATGTTGTTTTAAATAGAAATGAAAATGATGATGACAAAAAATATTTATGGCAAAAAATTATTGGGTTTTGAATGTGGTTTTGGTTGGCAAATCATAAATACATTAAAGAAAAGGACATTTTATGCAAAAAGGACATTTTCTGAAAGGTCAAGGTTAATGCAGATTTTATAATTGTGCTTTGGGGTGGTAATATTTTGAAAAGTTCAATGAAGCCTAAAGTACACAAGAACATTTTCAACAAACACAATAATTTAAAACAAAATTCTGCAGATATTTTTGTCTTGACAAAAATTTCATTAGAAAATTTCATCTTAACATAAAATTCTTTAGAAAAATGTGTCTTGACATAAATTTCTTAAGAAAATTTTGTCTTGACATAAATTTTTTTAGAAATTGTTGTCTTAACATAAATTTTCCTTAGAAATTTTTGTCTTGACATACATTTGTCTTAATAAAAATTCCAGTTTTCACTAATAATCCAAAAAAAAAATTCCTTAAAATTTCTATAATTCTTACCTAAACTCCACATATCAATGGCGGTACCATACTGTAGACCCAATATAACTTCCGGCGAACGATAAAATCTCGACTGTATATAAGTGTAGATTTTACGATTGACATAACAAGAGCTGCCAAAATCAATGACCTTTATCGAACTACTGCCACGTTGTTTTAATAAAATATTTTCCTGTAGGGGAAAAAAAAGAAAAAGGAAATTTTAGATTAAAACTTTCAGTTTTAATTTGTTAGGATTTGTTTATTACTTACTGGCTTGAGATCACAGTGTATGATATTCTCTTTGTATAATAAACGTAAACATTTTACTATAGAATTACAAAAACGACGTATTAAACTCATACTAAAACCATTGTAATTGTTCTTTTTAATCAATTCATATAAATTAAGACTGAAAAGAGAGTAAAATAGAGACAAAAAATAATTAGTTAATATAGCAAATGTAATTACTGTAAAAATTTCACTAGACATTTATCTCACGACATATATTTGTATACAAATTTCTCTAGGCATTCATGTTCGTCATATGTAATTGAGATCTAGTTCTGTTCCAGTTCAGATCTAGTTCAGTTCTAGGTCAGTTCTAGTTCAGTTCTAGTTCAGTTCTAGTTCAGTTCTAATTCAGTTCTAGTTCAGTTCTAGTTCAGTTCTAGTTCAGTTCTAGTTCAGTTCTAGTTCAGTTCTAGTTCTAGTTCAGTTCTAGTTCAGTTCTAGTTCTAGTTCAGTTCTAGTTCAGTTCTAGTTCAGTTCTAGTTCAGTTCTAGTTCAGTTCTAGTTCAGTTCTAGTTCTGTACTAGTTCTGTTCTAGTTCTGTTCTAGTTCTGTTCTAGTTCTGTTCTAGTTCTGTTCTAGTTCTGTTCTAGTTCTGTTCTAGTTCTGTTCTAGTTCTGTTCTAGTTCTGTTCTGTTCTAGTTCTGTTCTAGTTCTGTTCTAGTTCTGTTCTAGTTCTGTTCTAGTTCTGTTCTAGTTCTATTCTAGTTATGTTCTAGTTCTGTTCTAGTTCTGTTCTAGTTCTGTTCTAGTTCTGTTCTGTTCTAGTTCTAGTTCTAGTTCTGTTCTAGTTCTGTTCTAGTTCTGTTCTAGTTCTGTTCTAGTTCTAGTTCTGTTCTAGTTCTGTTCTAGATCTGTTCTAGATCTGTTCTAGTTCTGTTCTAGTTCTGCTCTAGTTCTGTTCTAGTTCTGTTCTAGTTCTGTTCTAGTTCTGTTCTAGTTCTGTTCTAGTTCTAGTTCTGTTCTAGTTCTGTTCTAGTTCTGTTCTAGTTCTGTTCTAGTTCTGTTTCTAGTTCTGTTCTGTTCTGTTCTAGTTCTGTTCTAGTTCTGTTCTAGTTCTGTTCTAGTTCTGTTCTAGTTCTGTTCTGTTCTAGTTCTGTTCTAGTTCTCTTCTAGTTCTGTTCTAGTTCTATTCTAGTTCTGTTCTAGTTCTGTTCTAGTTCTGTTCTAGTTCTGTTCTAGTTCTGTTCTAGTTCTGTTCTAGTTCTGTTCTAGTTCTGTTCTAGTTCTGTTCTAGTTCTGTTCTAGTTCTGTTCTAGTTCTGTTCTAGTTCTGTTCTAGTTCTGTTCTAGTTCTGTTCTTTCTGTTCTAGTTCTGTTCTAGTTCTGTTCTAGTTCTGTTCTAGTTCTGTTCTAGTTCTGTTCTAGTTCTGTTCTAGTTCTGTTCTAGTTCTGTTCTAGTTCTGTTCTAGTTCTGTTCTAGTTCTGTTCTAGTTCTGTTCTAGTCTGTTCTAGTTCTGTTCTAGTTCTGTTCTAGTTCTGTTCTAGTTCTGTTCTAGTTCTGTTCTAGTTCTGTTCTAGTTCTGTTCTAGTTCTGTTCTAGTTCTGTTCTAGTTCTGTTCTAGTTCTGTTCTAGTTCTGTTCTAGTTCTGTTCTAGTTCTTTCTAGTTCTGTTCTAGTTCTGTTCTAGTTCTGTTCTAGTTGTTCTAGTTCTGTTCTAGTTCTGTTCTAGTTCTGTTCTAGTTCTGTTCTAGTTCTGTTCTAGTTCTGTTCTAGTTCTGTTCTAGTTCTGTTCTAGTTCTGTTCTAGTTCTGTTCTAGTTCTGTTCTAGTTCTGTTCTAGTTCTGTTCTAGTTCTGTTCTAGTTCTGTTCTAGTTCTGTTCTAGTTCTGTTCTAGTTCTGTTCTAGTTCTGTTCTAGTTCTGTTCTAGTTCTGTTCTAGTTCTGTTCTAGTTCTGTTCTAGTTCTGTTCTAGTTCTGTTCTAGTTCTGTTCTAGTTCTGTTCTAGTTCTGTTCTAGTTCTGTTCTAGTTCTGTTCTAGTTCTGTTCTAGTTCTGTTCTAGTTCTGTTCTAGTTCTGTTCTAGTTCTTTTCTAGTTCTGTTCTAGTTCTGTTCTAGTTCTGTTCTAGTTCTGTTCTAGTTCTGTTCTAGTTCTGTTCTAGTTCTTTTCTAGTTCTGTTCTAGTTCTGTTCTGTTCTGTTCTAGTTCTAGTTCTTCTAGTTCTAGTTCTAGTTCTGTTCTAGTTCTGTTCTAGTTCAGTTCTAGTTCAGTTCTAGTTCAGTTCTAGTTCAGTTCTAGTTCAGTTCTAGTTCAGTTCTAGTTCAGTTCTAGTTCAGTTCTATTTCAGCTCTAGTTCAGTTCTAGTTCTGTTCTGTTTTAGTTCAGTTCTAGTTTAGTTCTAGTTCAGTTCTAGTTCTGTTCTAGTTCTGTTCTAGTTGCTGTTCTAGTTCTGTTCTAGTTCTGTTCTAGTTCAGTTCTAGTTCTGTTCTAGTTCTGTTCTAGTTCTGTTCTAGTTCTGTTCTAGTTCTGTTCTAGTTCAGTTCTAGTTCAGTTCTAGTTCTAGTTCAGTTCTAGTCTGTTCTAGTTCTGTTCTAGTTCTGTTCTAGTTCTGTTCTAGTTCTGTTCTAGTTCTGTTCTAGTTCTGTTCTAGTTCTGTTCTAGTTCTGTTCTAGTTCTGTTCTAGTTCTGTTCTAGTTCTAGTTCTAGTTCGTTCTATTCTAGTTCTGTTCTAGTTCTATTCTAGTTCTGTTCTAGTTCTATTCTAGTTCTGTTCTAGTTCTGTCTGGAAGTTTATTTTCTAACGCAAATGTCCTCAGATATATCTCACTTGACATAAAAATATTGCCTTATTTTAGGCTGTAACGAATTAACTAAACTATTGCCTAACTTCTGGAGATTTATTTGTTTTACTTTGATTTTCCTTAAGAATTTTTATGACCTTCACTTCCTGTTTAACTTTTTATTTCATAGTTTTTACTTCTTGTTCATTTTTATGTCTAAAAATTTTATTTATTCTCTAATTTGTTTTTGTGCTTTTATCAAATAATTAATCAGTTTACCTTACAACAACGACAACAACAACTAAAACTATATTTCGTTTTATAAAAACGTTAAATTACTCTTGTTTGTTTCCGCTTTTTAGATTTTTGCAACACATTTGTGGTTTTATTTTGGAATAGTATCCTTTTCATGGTTTTCAGTATATTTTTTTTTCTGGGGTCTTAGTGTCGCCTAAATTTTCAGTTAACATGCAACACAAATTAAAGTTTCAAAGCTAAAAACCACCCGCTCGTTTTCATTGGGGTTTTTTTGAAACTAAATAGAAAAATATTTTGAAAAATTTTTCATATATTTTTTATATAACTAGTTGAAGAACAGTAGTTTTAAGGAATTTTTGGCAAATTAGTTGGCTGCTTTTATTTATTTATTTATTGGGCGCCTTATAGTTAGGCAATAGTTTGTAATAGTTTGACAAAAGATTAACTAAAGATGTTGATTATTTAATGAAACAATTAAAGCAAATTACAAGGATTGATTTAATACTTATTATTCATTGCTTATAGCGTTGTTAAGTTTTAAATAATTTTTTACACAATTTTAAAATATTTTTATTTTTTAGCCTAAAATTATACTCTTAAAAGCCTTTGTATGTTTTGCGTAACAATACCAACCACAACCTTAAATAATTAATGTCTTTATTCTATTTTTGGATATAGATAAAACCTTGTAGTATTATTTAAAGGATTTCAATGTTACGCCCAATAAATTCCTTTACTCAGCCTTTACGGCAAATAAGCTTTTAACAATACTACAGAGTCTCTAAACTATTTGGGGAATAAAATAAAAGAAAATATCATAAAGATTTTACAAGATTGTAAACACTCAAATAGAAAAAAAAAGCACACAGCTTTTACAATAAAGGTAAAACTGTAAAACTTTTTACAACAAATGCCAAAATACCTTTAATAGCAAAACAAACAAATATAATGTGTAGCATATTTACACAAGCCGCACAGAATAAAAGCATATTATTTAGGCTTAATTTAATTTTCGCTTAAAACACATATTTGTTTATATGATAATGTTAGACATACATGAAACCATGATGTCATTTAACACACATTTAGAAATGGTGGGTTTATTTTTTAAACAAAAGTATTGATGTCATTTTGCCAAACACAAAGAAATTTTAGACATTTCGTTAGCAGCCTACAAGTATGCAAATTAATTTAGTTAAATAGCTATTATCTTGTCTGTATCTCGTATTTCCTCAATGTGTCAGGCAGCACTTGTTACTTTATTTATTTATTAAATAAAAAAAATACTAAAAGACAAATTTGATTATTAAAACAAATAAACTTGTTTTTATTATTCTTATTAATATTAATCATAATAACAAATATGTTTATTGTTTTGTGTCATAAATTTCGTATTAAACATTTATTATTTGCATTTAAAAGTATGCAATGCTTTTTAGCAGACACGCAAAAGCTTTGTTTGTTTTTGCAAAATGTTTCTTAACATAAATTAAGAGCTCAGACATAAATTAAAGGTTAAAGGTCGGCAGAACTGAACAGAACCTTAAATACAACAGAACTAGAAGAGAAATAGAACAGAATTAGAACGGAACTAGAGGAGAAATTGAACAGAACTACAACAGAACTAGAACAGAATTAAAACAGAACTAGAACAGAACTAGAACAGAACTAGAACAGAACTAGAGCAGAACTAGAACAGAACTAGAACAGAACTAGAACTAGAACAGAACTAGAACAGATCTAGAACAGAACTAGAACAGAACTAGAACGGAACTAGAACAGAACTAGAACAGAACTTGAACAGAACTAGAACAGAATTTGAACAGAACTAGAACAGAACTAGAACAGAACTAGAACAGAACTAGAACAGAACTAGAACAGAACTAGAACAGAACTAGAACAGAACTAGAACAGAACTAGAACAGAACTAGAACAGAACTAGAACAGAACTAGAACAGAACTAGAACAGAACTAGAACAGAACTAGAACAGAACTAGAACAGAACTAGAACAGAACTAGAACAGAACTAGAACAGAACTAGAACAGAACTAGAACAGAACTAGAACAGAACTAGAACAGAACTAGAACAGAACTAGAACAGAACTAGAACAGAACTAGAACAGAACTAGAACAGAACTAGAACAG